TTTTTTTTTTTTTTTTGGTGTGGAGGGAGGAGAAGGTTTGGTATAATACATTTGGGTGTCAAGTTCTTTTTCCTTTACTTTTTAAGATATGTTAACAAGACTGCTTGTATTTAGCAGAAATTTTTTGGGTGTTACGTGGTATTATTAATCCACATATTAAAATACCGGTAGGCAACAAACAAAGTTGATATTTCATGGACTTTGTTAGTAAAACCATGCCACCGAAAAATAAGCATGTTATCATTGGTAACCTTAAGTGACGGTATGACTGTAGCAGTTAATAAAACTGCAATAGAAATATGACACGTGACACACATAACTTTTGTTATGTAAGATAAAGATAAACAACTTTACTAAAATAATAAAAAAAAGATAAAGATAAACAACTTAAAATTAGGGAGCATTGAGCTATAACCTGGTCTAATAAGTAAGCCTCGTGCAAAAGAAAGAAACCATTTCTTAGCTCACTGCAACTAACTTTTACCTTTATGAGGATACATAGACAAGATTTATTCCAAGACATTAATTTACAAATAAACGACAATAATTAAGTTGACATGAACTGAAATATCCTAACGATTGTAACTACAAAATAAGAGATAGAACCATTGGTTAGGTTCTAATTCTGTCTGGACTAATATGGTTTAAGAAAATGGAAAGAATAAGGTACATCCATAGTAGTCAAACCTAGGACCTAACCCTCCCAATGCCACTTCATTTTTGGTAGTTGTTATACCTTTCAGGAGCTTCTTAATTAACAAATCTAATCAACCGTTAAAAAAAATTATAATATAATTAGGAACCTAAAGTATTACTATACTAGCAACCAGTAAGTACAACTGTACGGGTTGAAAAAGCGTTGGAGCTTTATCCGGATAAAAAATTCATATAACAAAAGCATGTAATTTAGACTACTGCTTGTACTAAAAAATTTCATATAAATAAGTAGCAGTAATTAAAACCTGTATTTTAAACTTTAATTGATGAAATATACAATGCATATATATACACACATAATATACTGCAAAACGGGAATATTTTGATGTGTACTTATTTTCCTTGACATGATTAATTCATATATCTTGGACATAACTTTTCTCCCAAAAAGTATATTATATATTTTTGAGCTCATTCATTACAGTATGGAAAAACTATTGATTTTCTTGCATATCAAATAGTATTAAAATAACGACTGCTACTTTTTTTTTTGGTAATACTGTTTGACAACTGCTCATTATGCTCAATGATGAATTTACAGACATTTAACCTGAATAAAAACTACTGAAATGGAGGAGAGACTATCATCCTCATATATATATATATATATATAAAATATTATATATCAATAGGTCATTTTCACAGGGGCAATCAAATGCCATTCATGGAAGAAACGACCTAGTTTGTGGCACAGACTCTTCTAAGCTGAACTCTCCTTCTCCCTATTCCACCAATATTTTTCTTTTCAGTTTTTATCTTATAAATTTGTTTGATAACAAGTATAAAGTAAGTTTGAAAATGACTATTAATTTCCCCCCATTACTCTCCCCTAGCTGTATATATATTGAACTCTCACAACCAACTCTTGTCATATTTTCTTCAATTGGTTCCATTTCTATAACTACTCCATCTTAATACTTCTTCAACCTCATTACCTTTGAAGTAAGTTCTTGTTGCTTTCTTTATCAGTTATCTATGGCTTAGATTGATACATATAATATATATATAAATGGTTTCAACAGTTCCACCATGCTAGCAAATTTGTTATTCTGATTCAACTATCTCTCATTTCCATTGATATTTTGCAGAAGGAACCTTCAATGGCCAGTTCTGTGGATTTACTCAACTCCACTAACGAGGCTGCACGAAAGGTCAGTGAAGTACTGAAATCAAGTAAAATAGATGATGATGATGATGATGATGAATGATTCTGTAAAGTCGTTATATGGCTTTTTGATGGATCTGCAAACTGTTATATATAGCATCCATGAATCAGAAATAGTTACTATTATTTTCATTTGAAAATTAGTTGTAACTTCGTTTTGATCCACCAAAAAAAACACAAGCAGCAGGTGAGAGAAGACAACAGATGCACCGGAGAATCAGAAACTGCGAAACGTAACTTGTATGAAGTTGAACAGAAGGTGATAGCTGGTAAAAGTAAGGCATCCCTTATTAGAAAGAGCACAGGAGGGTGGAAATTTGCAAGCCTCTTACTAGGTACCAATAATGAATGATAATCACTTTCTTAATTTCGTTCTTTTAATATATTTATGATGTTCTTGTTGGTCTTGTCTTGTGCAGTGAATCAAGGGCTAGCAACACTAGCTTTCTTTGGTGTTGGTGTGAACTTGGTTTTGTTTTTAACCAGAGTTCTTGATCAAGAGAATGCCGTTGCCGCCAACAGTGTCAGCAAGTGGACTGGAACTGTTTATTTGTGCTCCTTAGTTGGTGCATTTCTCAGTGATTCGTACTGGGGTCGTTACTTAACCTGCGCAATCTTTCAGCTCATCTTTGTAGTGGTAATTTTTTTTTATTGTCAAATATATATATATTCTTTGAAGTGAATGAAAATTGATGTTGCCTAAATTGAATATCAGGGCTTGGTGCTGTTATCTCTTTCATCTTGGCTCTTCTTGTTCAACCCTTCTGGTTGTGGTGATGGAGAAATAGTGTGCATGCCTGCATCCCCTGTTGGTGTTGCTATCTTTTACTTGTCCATATATTTGGTTGCATTTGGATATGGTGGGTACCAGCCAACTATAGCAACCTTTGGAGCTGACCAATTTGATGAGGCAAATCCTAAAGAGAGAGCTTCAAAAGCAGTTTTCTTTTCCTATTTCTACTTTGCACTCAATGTTGGGTCTCTTTTCTCAAACACCATATTGGTCTATTATGAGGATACTGGCAAATGGACTCTGGGGTTTGTGGTGTCATTGGGGTCTGCTATCATAGCCCTATTGTCCTTTTTGTTAGGGACACCAGGGTATAGGTACCTAAAACCATGTGGCAACCCTTTGCCACGTGTCGCTCAGGTATTCGTCGCTGCAGCTAGGAAATGGGATATTGTTCCAGTCAACTCGGATGACCTGTATGAGGTTGAAGGACCAGACTCTGCAATCAAAGGGAGTAGAAAGATTTATCACAGCAATGAGATTGAGTAAGTATCAGACTTTTCATCTGTACAAACTTTACAGTAAAAAGGCTTTCAAATCATACCATGTACTACAAATTACTCAATACATATATAGTAAATAAATAAGACAACATATAGAAATTTTCGAGATCCACATAGCACTTGTCTAAAGTACTTAAACTAAATTGGTTCTTAATTTGGTCAGGTTTTTGGACAAGGCAGCAACAATCACTGAGGATGATCTGTGTGGCCCTAAGAATCCATGGAGGCTCTGCACCGTAACTCAAGTCGAGGAAGCCAAATGCGTCCTGAAAATGCTACCCATTTGGCTTTGCACTATAATTTACTCTGTGGTCTTCACACAAATGGCTTCCCTTTTTGTAGAGCAAGGGGATGTGATGAAATCCAACCTTGGAAAATTTCACCTCCCAGCTGCTAGCATGTCTGCTTTTGATATATGCAGTGTCCTTATCTGCACTGGAATTTACCGCCAAGTGCTTGTGCCATTAGCTGGAAAGCTAAGTGGGAACACTAAAGGGATATCCGAGCTTAAAAGAATGGGGATAGGGCTCGTTATTGGCATGCTGGCAATGGTCGCAGCAGGTGCCACAGAGATTGCAAGGCTCAAGCATGTGCTGCCTGGTGAGAAAATAAGCTCTCTGAGCATATTTTGGCAAATTCCACAGTATGTTCTTGTTGGTGCTTCTGAGGTTTTTATGTACGTTGGTCAACTTGAGTTCTTCAATGGACAAGCCCCGGATGGGATAAAAAGCTTCGGAAGTTCACTCTGCATGGCTTCAATGTCGCTTGGGAATTACGCGAGCAGCTTTCTGGTTAACATGGTAATGGGAATTACAGCTAGAGGTAAAAACCCTGGTTGGATCCCAGATAATCTGAACACAGGTCACTTGGACAGATTCTACTTCCTAATTGCAGCATTAACAGCTTTCGACTTTGTTATTTACGTGTTTTGTGCTAAGTGGTACAAGTCCATTAACCTTGAGGGCTCTGAGAAGGAAATTCAGATCATTGAAATTCAAAAAGATGTGGTGCTCAGAAGAGTTTAGG